GCCAACCCCAACGGGCACACTTTTTTAAAAAAAATTGACAGTACAGTGGAATCTCCATAAGTCGAACCTCAGGGCAATTGGCTCAAATATTGAGTTAAGCAGAGTTTTGAGTTATCCCATGGATTTTCTATTCAACAACATTTGATGGGAATAAGTTTTTACTTTAAGTTCGGCCAAAAAAAAAAAAATACTCGGTCTCTGGTCAGCGCGCGCATCGATTTTAATCATGCGCGTCAACTTTTTTTTTTTTCAAATTAACACGGAAGCTACAACAGCGCCCTCTATTGCTGCGCCTCCTCAAATTTTTGTACCAAGGAGCACCAAGGAATGGGGAAATTGCACCAAGGCAAATGATAAAGGGCATCAAGGCAAATTATGGAGGACACCAATGTATAATGAGGACACAAAAAAGCAAAATAGTATCCACCTTGTCTGTACAATACAAGCTTGAAAAAAAAAAAAGCCACCAAAAAAACAAACCGCGTCGCTGCTTCAATACCGGAACTTCGGTCTGACTCTTTTTTTAAGAGTCAATCAGCACCGTTTCCGTATATTACACTTCACAATGTAGTCGAGGTTGGTGCACACATGTCAGACTTTCGTTGGTATAATGGTTGCTCAGTCATAGCTGTGATTGGCCAAAACATCAGCGGGTGGGGCTTAATGGATATTTCTACTCTAGATAACAGAAACCACACCCATTTCATCTTTACAGTGTATTTGCTTGGCTATTGCATGTAATTGTACCGGTTCGTGTACACCAACATTTTTGAATTTACAAACTGTACATTTGTATTTCATTTGTTCTTCATAACGTAAAATAAAACTTAACTATATTAGTTTGTGGTTGCACCATGTGTCAAATCTGTTTTGTGAGTTTGTGAGGCACGTTCAGTTGTGAGACAGTATGCTCTGCCTGTTGGAAGACAATTCAAATCTGATCTAAAACTGAAATTTGAGGAAAAAATGTGTGAAACATACATATAGAGGGCAGTACACTTAAATGGCAAACATCTTTGCTAAATTTTTTGTAATTTGGTGCTTCTATGTGATTTCATTGACGAGAAAAAAATTAAGATGATTGTGTGCATGTGATTTTAATTGGATTGGTCAAACCTTGAAAATAACATTTTAAACACCTGTCAGAACTGTGCACACGTATTTGTTCATTATTTGTTTACTTTAAAACCAGGACCACTGCTAAGGTCTTCAACCTTTTGTGAAGCCATAGAAGTATTATCAGTGTACACGTACAGGTAGTCATTATTAAAATTTTAATGCACACGGACTTCTCTATTGTACAGCTTGAAGAAATTTGGTGTTTTCAATTTCATTTCTGGTTTGGAAAGGAATATTTGAATCCTTTGACATTTATATCCTTCGGGGAAAATTACTTTTAAACTTTTTTTTTTTTTTTTTTCCAGATGCCAAAATTTGTAATCAATCGAGCAGATTCCAATAGAGGGAAAACTTAATTTGACAAATTGTGTTTTCTCGATGCATGAAAACAATCAGTTTTAAGTTTCTGACGGCTTTTTTGTGTCAGTTTCACTGTATAATTGTGTACAAAATGTACACGTTCGCGTATACAATACGTATATTGTTGATGCCTGGAAGTTTTGCCACATGTGTGAATTGTATATACACCTGTAGGTGTCATATTCAAATATACGAAGTCCTCTGTATTAGAGACATGGTGAAAAAAATTCCCTCCCTTCAGCTCACTCGTATACATGTGCGACTTATAACCAGTACGTACAACTTATATCTCGTACGTACGAGATACAAATTGTACATGCGAGATATAAGATGTGCGTACAACTTCCGTACGAGTTATAAATCCTATGCACAAGTTAGCTGGAGAGAGAAATATTTTCACCGTGTCCCTAATACTGCTTCGTACAATAAGACCCAAGATTTGTTTTAGATGAATTTTTTTTTAAATGGTGACAAAGTTTTTACAAAATGATTTTGAGAGAATTGAATTATCAAGTGGAGCACAAATTTGGAAAGAGTTCCATACCTGGACATCTCTTGACACTCTGTGAGACTTGTCTGAAAAATTCCAAGTGTTTTCTCAGTAAATGCTGCAATGTTTTCCCTAGTAAATTTGACTTTTTAGGACATGTTATCACTTTTTGATGGCTGATAGGTCACTGTAGGGGAAAATGAGTGATGTCCATACATGTATGAAATTATACCAGCTGAGTCTTTGGATTTGGTCGAGAGTATTTCATAGTTTTAACTGCATTCTTGTTGCTTTTCAAGGAGAGAGTTGGGACATCTGAGCAAAATTGCTGATGATGACTGATGCTCACGCGAAGACGCTTTGGGTTTGTGCTCATTCAGAATAAATTTAGTCGTAGGTACTTCGTGCAATACGCGCACAAGCCAATACGTGCGCGCGGTGTGCCCCTCCCACTGGGCTGTCAAAAATCATCAAAAGGGGAACCGTGTACTGTTTATTCATGGAGTCTATACCATATTTGAACCAGTTAATGCTGGAAGACGTGTAAATATGACCTGGCAGTGTACATGCGCAGGGGCAGGTGATGGGTTAAAACATCAAGCTTAGTCTACCGCGGTGGACGTTTATAAACGTCATTTGTTCCCATTGGTTTTGTACATACCGTGTCTTGAACTTGAACTTGAACTTGGCAGCTGTACACGGCCTGTTGTAGCAAATCTCTTTCCGTAACGGGGCCTCAGAGTGTTGCAAAATATGAAAAGTGAGAAGAATCACACAAATATTGTACACATGACTCTCATTAGTCAGTATAAAATTAGGCCGATGCTTTTCGTCTTTTTCAAAAATGGTGTTTTTTTCGGTAAAAAATAATCCTGACGTCGAGTGGTTAATCAAACATGTTTGTACATGCACACGATTTGTAATTTAGGGTTCTGTCGCTAATGTCATGTAATCTACCCAACGTATAAGATTTCCTTGCCTCTTTTTGAGGGTTGCAGTTTTAGTTTATGCAATTCCTGCTGGAATACCCCTTCAACATCGTTGCGGCTTTGTGGTGGTGAATTTTTGGAGGGAGGAGAGGTAACTCGATAATGATTAAATTGACGGCAGGCGTGCACGTGGCCTCCACACATTTTCTCGATGACACCATTACTGGTAACTCTCGACTCCCTCGTACCCTGACAGTAAAAGTTGTGTACTCTCTTGATGTTGCCCCGAATTGTGGTTTCATGGTAAAGTATCCTGTACTTAAATGATTGCATTTTGAAATTTTATTCCCAACTTTGGAGAGATGCTCTAGCCTTACCTCTAGCGTAATCGAACCGTGTGGATCTAGTAACAGAGAATTGAGTGGCAAAAAAATTGTTTCCCTCTACTTTCTACTTAGCATTGCAAGCTATTGGGCGGAAAAAAATGCTCCAAAATAAAGAAAGTCCAATTGTCGGACTTGTTCTTGTGGGACGCGAAGTACGCGTCTGCGTGTCTTATTTTATTCTGAGTGCGTGTACAAACCTGTAGTGAACAGGTATTGCAGTCACTGTGTGGACCTTTGAACAAAAGATGTCCACATAGTGCAGGTTGTGAAGACATTGTGTGGATTTGGCCAGGTCCAAACATAGTCAGTTGGTTCATGGGCAGAATCGTGACCGACTGGTCCAAAGCTCAAAACTTACCAGATAGATTCTTATAAACCTAGAGAAGATATTTAGAAGAGGTGACATCTGAAATTATTTTGGGACGGGTGCCTAATTTGCATAAATCGTAAATACCGGTAGCTGCCATCTAATATATTTATTCCCATATTTTGTATTTTTGTATATTTTTTTGAAAAGTCTTTTTAGGGGATTCTACTTACGTATCCTTACCGGTACTTAAATAACATTTTCTAAAGCATACATATGTAAGTGACTGGATGATTACAAGGACATACATGTATGAAAGATTCAAAATGGTTACCATTATATCCTAAAGTTGCACGCATTTATCTTTTGCGCCAGATATCAAGTGTAGTCTTGCCAAACCTTGCAGTATTGATGAGCTTAAAATTCCCAAAGTTACTTACTGGCACAGTTACCCTAATAAAACTATACAGAAAATCATGTGAACGATGAAGTAAAGTTGAAACAAAATCACACCCAGTGGGATTCGAACTCATGACCTACAGATGTACAGTCCAATGTGGTGTCCACTAGACTACAGCAGGGACTCGCTCCACTGAATTGTTTTAAACATTATATTAGTGCATGTACATCATCATCCGCGTAACCTTAAGGGCTAGACATCAACTTGACCATAACCTGGCATTCAAGTTCATTACAGGACGACAGCAAGTAAGTTTGCAAATGAAATTTGAGATGTTTCATTTTAAACTAAACTCGTGACCAGTGTACAATGTGTATTTGTACATGTACCATTACAGTAGTCCTTGGTTAATACACAAACTTACTGGTACTTTCACATTCGGTCATTTTGTCACATTTGGGATTTTAAATGTGTGACTTAATAATGAAGCGTCTAAGGTTAACAAAACCAGTCTTGGTCTCGATCATGGTACCTTGGCATTTAAATTGTGTTGCTTTTTCACATAGAATCACTTACATTTAGTAAATTAGATTGTACATTGTACACAGTGTACATGAACATGCTCCAAGATGATTTTTATGCCGATTCTCTGATTGGTCTTCGATAGTGTTGTCACCTACACATTTTTTTTAAACGTTATTAAGTGAAATCCTTCAAAAACAATCAAGATGTTTTGGAGGATTTTGCAGGATTTTGGAAGACACATTTGCATGGGTCAGCCACAATTACTTTGCACAGGGCATCAGTGGCACGCACCCAGGATTTGGTTGGTTGGCTCACATTTTTTTTCACGTTTTTTTTTTGGGGGGGGGCCTTTTGGGTATGCCACTGCAGGGCATGGCACCCTTTGAGATTAGATGTTTAAACACAAAGTATATCACTGCACTATCCCTATACATATTACAGTTGACTTAAATGTATGCTGTTTTCTGTTTTCGTTTGATTGCAGTTTCCAGAACATGACTTCTACGGAGTCTATGACAAGATTCTGCTATTCAAGCATACCCCGGGCGAATCCTACGTCTTACAGCCAATCACATATGCCAGTGAGATTCCAGATGGCTCATTGGTGGAGGCTGTTCTATCTGGTAGGTGTTCATGTATTATATGGCCATTTCTGAAATCTTGGCTTTGTCACCAGGTTCGGCTTCATCTCTGGCTTCAGCACCATGATGTTGGAGTCTGAAGGCAAACTTGGAAATGAGGCCAAGTTTTGGTAAAAGTCCATGATCCTGTGTTCATCTTGGGGAGGGGGGATTGTTACCTCTCTTTTTACTCTAAAAAAATTCGCAAAGATCATGAAGTTATTAGTTGGCACATTGGTGGAATGTGTTTTATATTATCAATTATAATTTTGGTGTTTGGTGTAGAAAAGCTGTATACATGTACTGTCCATGGGGGTCAAAGTAGACTGTTCGTCAACCTTGTGAGGCTAAAGTTTCATTATTTCCACACAGTCAAACTTAAGTGTCCAATTGTTAAGTATCTTACTTTCTGACATTGAGAACGATGTACATGTAGGTGGGAATGCATTGCAATTGAAGCCATAATGCAGCACGCGTTGACATCAGTTTTGCTTTCAATGCTTGGTTAGTTGGGACCGGAACTGAAACTGTATGCCAATGATCTCTGGATTAAGTTCAAGATTAGTAGAAGCAGCTTTATTGAGCCAGCATTGTGTAATTGCTGTATGAGGAAGACAGTTTATTGGCAACTTGTGTTGTTTTTGTAACTTTTCAGATACTTTACTGGCCATCAGTAGCCTACTGGTAGCCTGCTCCTTGTACTGCATGCATTCTAGGCACTTTGAGTGATGTAATGAGTTTAATTGGTCTAAAGAGTTTAAAGGATAGGGTGGAGGGAGGGAGGGGCGGTGTCAAGAAGAGGGAGAATCAATTTGCATGAATCTGTTTTATTCTTATCCCTGTTTCAGTTTTTGGTGAAGCATTTGAAGGTAAAATTAATTCCTTTTTTTTTCAAAACATGAGCAGAATCATCATTCAAATTAACTACATAATCATAATACAATAATTTATTTTCTCATGATGGAAACCCACTGCTTTTCTCAAGTTATACGCTAATAGAAATTTACATATAATCATCTATTCATGCAATATTTACTCAAACTTCATTGTTCATTTAATAACAATCACAAGTGCAGATTTCACCATGAATCACACAAAAACATTCATAAAACACTTTCCTTTGTTAATTGCAAGCAAAATGAGTGATTTGGACATGTTTTAACCAAAATTTGATTCAGTTTGACATAAAAGCATCCATCTATGCACATGTAGCTTTCTCCATGTAAATCGACCATTAAATTATTTCTTTATATTTGTACGATATTCTTGAAGAGTTGACCATTCCAATAAGCCATTTGAGAGTTAAATTTGAATAAAATCTGGAACGCTGACTTAATCCAATTCTTTGCACGTTTTAACTTTGCATTCTCCCGACCAAAGAGACTGTTACTATATCACATGATTCGGGGCAAGCCTTTTGCTAGCAACCTCCGGCATGGTCTGGGCCCAATTTCACGGCACTGGTTAACAGTTAGCAGAAAAGTTGTGCTTAGCATAGCAGAAAAATCTGCTTACGGTACCTTAAGCACTATTTTACGACGAGGATGTGCTAACGGTCGCGCGTGCATGGAAATTTCTGTTTTTAGATGTACGTCACTGAGTTAAGCAAATTTTTCCTCTGAAGTAAGCGTGCCTTTTGCTGTGCTTATGCTAATGGTCTTCCTGAAATAAACGGAGGCTCTGTTAGCAGAAAATCGTGTGCTTAGCAGCGCAGTGAAATTGGGCCCCTGTGTCTTTGTGCCATTGGCACCCATTGTCAACGATGTACTGGTTCTGAGCGACTCTTACGTAACCATGCAAGAGCTTGCCCCGAATCATGTGATTAGCAACAGTGTCTTTGGTCTTGAGAATTCAAAGTTAAAATGTGCCAAGCATTCTGAGCAATTCAGTGTACCACATGTTTTTCAAATGTAAATCCCAAAAGGTATAGGTTACTCGCTAATGACTTATTGATTTGCTTTCTTTAATTTGTTTTTCCATTGCCATTGCTACAGTTTATTTACAAGGTAATCAAGTACTCTTTTCATACAGTATACATTTTGTAATTTTTATCACAAACCAAGGGGGGAAAGACTATGGGCTCCGTGCGCCAATGAAAGAGGGCGCCCTTTTACCTAGCAACGACGTCCCATGGGTGGGACATTTAGCTGTTTTTTTGCACCGTTCCTTGTGTGTGCCGCACGTATACCAGGGGATTTGTACTTTGTATCTTGTACGCGCAGTGGTACGGCCGCGCGTCGCGGCAAAATTGCAGTCAGGCAAGATGGCGTCAGTTGGTCACCGCCAACTGTACTTCCTTTGCCGGTGAGGGGTACTTGTGAACGGAGCGGATTCAAGGTGGCATTTCCAAAAAAAAAGTAGACAAAAAGTGTAGCTGTACCGGCACATGTAGAAGGAATCTGTCCGCATTTTGCATGTTGAGGAATACATGAACAAAACAACATGCGTGGTTTTTTTTTTAAAAGAAGAATTGTCATCACAATAACAAAGCAAATTTACACCTGGGCAAGTCCAAGAATTTGCGCACGCTATGTCCCATACGTGATCAAAGTTTAACCCTCTAAGATATTCATGGTTTAAGTTTTTTTTTATTTTCTACTGTTGGGCATCTGCAAGGATAGAATTTGTATGTTGTTAGTGTTTGCGATGATTATGAAACATGGTGTTATCGGTACGGTACGTATGGGACATACAAGGGACCTTTTCTTGGACAGTATACCAGTACCCACCTGCACATTTCACTCAACATGTCAATGATGTCATTCGTGCAGTTGTACATGTACATGTGCGTGTACGTATCTCAGGTGTATCTTGCGTTTGTTTATGGTGTAAATCGAGGACACGCGTGCAACATCATCGGTGAATCAAGGACAAGAACCAAATCAAGGACGACCTCGATTAGAAAATGTGTACAAAACGAATGAGAGCTGTTGCGAAAAAGTTACAGTACAAAGGAAAAGGGAAGAGGAACAAAAGAAAATCATCAATTTACACCATAAACAAATGTGTATGCACACGTGTGTGCATTACATGTACCGGTACATGTACCGGTATGTGAATGTGCATGACAAACATGTACATGTACAGCTCATCCTTCTTTTGAACCAAATCTCATGGTTTTTAATGACACATTTCACACATTCTGCAAAATACTATACATAAATAAATGTAAATAAAATACATACTTTGGACATGTACAGTTACACTGTACAGATTTATAATTTTAATTGAAATAGACAGGGACATTGTACAGTATGTATATAATTAAAAAGTAGAAATAAAGTACCTATAGCACTGTGTGACCGCTGACATACATGTACGCTGGTCTGTGCTTGTACTTGTACACGTATACCGTACATGTTGCAAAGTACACACCTATGTATTTCATCTGAATGCAAACAAACCAGTAGCCTTAAGGGCCAGCCTACTGTCCTCTGACTGAGTGACTGAGTCACTGACTGAGTCACTCCCCGACTGACTCCCCGACTGCCCGACTGACTCCCCGACTGCCCAACTGACTCCCCGAGTTACCGACTGACTGAGTCACTGACTGATTGAGTTACTGAGACTTTCAGGTACAGCTAGGCAAGCCTACAAGTAGGTTTGAATTATATTGCAAAACACTTTTCCTTTAATAATCTGGGAAATAGATAGTAAATAGTTACAATTGCCTCACAGTTTGCAATGTGAATGAAAGGAATTGGCTTAGGGCCCACTTTTCCATCTTCTTACCGGTGCATACATTTCCGGTATATTATGTGTGTAACCATAGAGCTTTCATGTTCATGTTCATGGCAGAAATCAAACTAAATAATACACAAGCGACATCCTGCTTGAAAGCGTGCCCTATTACATTTATCAATAAATAAAAATGATACTTTGCGAAACCATGTTATTCTCCGCCTTTGCAGTTCCCTTTCTAAGGTCAGTAAATTCTTGCAGGATACATGTATATAGAAGAAATTCACCATATCTTATTTTTCCCTGTTATGAGTGATTGATTTTATTGCATGCCTTCAACACAAGTAAATAAACCATTTTTTTGTGAATTTCTGACCACAGGAGAGCGATGACACTCTCTGCCGTTTCTTGTGTTTGTCGTCAAGATTGTCATTTTTGTCAGCAAAATTGTGTCTCTGTCAGCAAATGTGATATCACAAAAAGGGCCCCTATTGTTTTAATTCACTTAGATTATGCCACAATTGTTCAAACAGAGAGATACCTGAACGTTTTAGGTAACGACACTTCACTGATGTACATGTAACAGGGAACAACATTTGCATGCAATTACTCACCTGTAGGGTGGCATGGGTGGCTTGTGCGTAAAGCGCTCGCCTCTCACCAAGGTGACAACGGTTCAAATCCTGGCCGCGGATCACATGTGAGCAGAGTTGAGCGTTGGTTCTCTCCTGTGCCACAAGGGTTTTTCTCAGGGCCCTCCGGTTTTCCTCCTTCGGAAAAATCAAACACTTTCGATCTCAGGCTGTGCTGCGTGGTCATATATGGGTCGATGTGGCCGGCAGCCATAGGCGACTTTACGTGCCAGCGGCCCGACCACGTTGTAGCCGCGTCCTTCGCAATTCAGCATACCAGCTGCGAGTAAGGATGATAAGCCTCCCAAATTATTATTATTATTATTATTATTAGTGTAAGTGGGGCCCAAATTTGGTATTGTTCCTAAAAGGTTGTCCAAGAGTATTTTCTAAGGTGGTAACTGAAACTTTCAGGTGTGACCTTCTTTTGATATTTGAGCAAAAACACTGATGTCAAAGATTATACGGGGGGGGGGGGGGGGGGGGGGGGATGCTACTGGTATTTCCAGAATATTCACATTAGTGCTTACAGCTTCTTACAGTCTCCTATCCTATGTTTTTAACGCTGAGCAACTCACAAGACTAAGTTACAACTCAGGTAAAAGAAAGATGGCTGTAAAAACTGTATGACCTATAAAAATGACCTCAAGGGGATGGCACATTACATTGTTGGGCCCCATGTTTTAGTTGCAACATACATTGTAATTTATGACACATGAATTTATATTTTAGCCTTGTTCAGGGCAAATATATGTGCATTAATTAACCCTACCCCCCTAGGCCCTTTTTGCTAAGAACCATCCAAAATCCTCCAAATTTTTGCAACAGCACCTAAATTCCTCAAAATTGTCAGACAGTCCTGCCTTAAAATGCATTCATCGTTAATCCTCCAAAATCTTCCTCATCCCAAAATTTTGCACTCATGTTCAAATGAAGGATAACCAATGCCTCAATCCTTCAAAATCATCAGACAGTCCTGCCTCAAAATGCATTCATTCTCAATCCTCCAAAATCATCCTCATCCCAAAATTTTGCACTCGTGTTTAGATGAAGGATAACCAACACCTAAATCCTTCAAAATCATCAGATAGTCGTGCTTCTAAATGCATTCATCCTCAATCCCCCAGAATCATCCTCATCTTCAAACACTATTCATCCTCAATCCTCCAAAATCCTCATGTGATTCAATCACCATTCATCCTCAATCCTCTAGAATCCTCCAAAACCGCCAGGAGAATTTTGGAGGAGTGAGGAGGGTTAGGGTTAAAAAGAAAATGCGGTAGACTTGTATGACTTGAGTTGAGGACTCGGAATCGAGTCTGTCCAGAGTCGCAATTTTGGTGACTCAGACTCAATTTGAGTCACGTTGACAAGAAGACTCATCAGACCCGCACCGGAATATTATTACCGAGACTTGAAAGTGCGCACTTGTGATACGCAAGCCCCATATTTTTCACCAGCACTACCTTATTGATTACTGTTAAAAACAAAATTCTGATCTAAATTTTCCGGTTGCCATTGCGCGGAATAAAGTTAAAACATATAAATACATGTTCAAGTACCGTACATAGACTTTCCCGATAATTGTTTCAATTCACTTGTGACTCGGCCTCGGACTCAAATCAAGTGACTCAGTACTCGGACTGAAACCCAAACCAAATGACTCGAGACTCGGTCCCACCATGCCCATGTGTTCCTGTATTCAGCACTTAGTATGAAACATTTATATCGGAAAAGCAACAGAGCTTAACAGAACTGCAACAATCATGTGCTCCATGCGTGTACGTGCATGCTTTCATAGACGCCTTAATTTCAAACCCACCCACCCATCCCTTCCTCCCAACAACCCGTTACGCCTTGCTAAATTTGTCCTTTCAAAAATCACCCCATGTGCAACGTGTGGAGCTCACCGAGCCAATTGATGTATATTAACCCCATGATGAATCGGTTAAGGTTGGCTGCACTTCTCCACGCTCCTGTGCACTCTGTCTCATCTCTTATGTGAACATGTTTTAGTTGGATGCCTGTGTTATGTTCCAGCTCATTCCAGTCCTGAATTTGCTTTATAGACTGAGGGTGAGTGGGTGGGGGAGGGCGGTGGTGTCGGGAGGGTGGTGGATCAAAATTAGGCTAACTAGGGAAACACCTGGATTAGAGAAGGTAAATGAGTTTCTGCGGTTAACTTTTCAAATATGGGTCATGTTACGTCTAATAAAAAAATAAGTCGTGCCTAGTAGAGCTGGTCCAAAAAGTCGCAGAACGGCAGGACAATATTTTAGACTCACTGACTCAGTCAGTCAATCAGTCAGTGACTCTGTCAGCCAGAGGACGACATGCCAGCTCTTTGGGACTGGCAAGAATAATTTTGGCAATGTATGGGCGTACGTGGACATCCAACCCTCCCCCCCCCCCCCCAAAAAAAAGTTTTATCAAATTCTTGACAAAGATCATGCTTGGAGTAAACAATATATTGCTGCAATACAACTTGAAATGAAAAATACAACAGAAATGATTCTGTCAGGCGTGTCGTCGGTGTAAAATATCTGTCACAGTTTTAGGCTGATCTCTTACTGGATATCGTTAACTTTCAACTTTGAAGGGTTTTGAAGCCCTGAATTTGTCATTGGTTATAGCTTCATGGCAGGCTTCACAATTCAAAAGACTTTAACGGCCAAAACATAAAGCCATACTGAGCTGACCTCCCCCCAAGTCAGGGACCTAGAGTTTCTTGAAGCTGAGGTTGGAGATCTGAGGTTTCCAAAAAACGCTTTATCATAAAGGAAAAAATTGTTTATGGGTTCTACCGGTTCTACACTTGAGATGAAATTTAAGCAAGTACATTCAGTAAATTAGAAAATACTACACCTCATACATAATTTATGAAGCAAATTTTTTCATTGGTTGATGTTACAACGCATCAGGGAAGTAAAAGTAGCTTGGTAACCGAAGAGCGCACACCTGTTCAACAAACATACTACCACCCAACTGGTCGCTAGTGCCATCAGGGAAGTGATACCTCACAATTACATGTAGCTCCTAGACACTGGATGAGTCTTGGTTGCTGGCGGTACCATACTAAACCCTTTCGAGAGATAAACAATTGGATTCCCTACAGAATTTTTTTAACTTTTGAGAATGAAACTAAATATGTATGAGGTGTAATAAAACATTTACAGCATTTTTTTTTTTTCGGGGAAGAAGCGCGAAATTACTGGTCTCTATGTATTGGCTGATTTTGACCACCTCCCTCGGTTTTGCATCAGGAGGTAGTCACATCGGCCAACGTCTAAGGACAAGTAATTTCACACTTACCCTCAAACTATAATTTGTATTTGGCCAAAATGACTAGTAATGTTTACATGTACATGTACATCGTATACCTGTCTATTTGAATCATGTGCTTCCTTCTTTATTTAAAGCATTGGATCATTGGCATTTACCCAAAAAGTAACCTACCGAATTATAAAAAAAATTACTTGGATTAAACCTAACAATCCCCATTTAGTTAAACTCAAACACCAGAGTTTGTGGGAATCTGTTGGAGTGAGTACTGCACTGGTAAACTGATTATGCTTTACATGGCATCAGACATACCACCATATAATCAGAGTCCAACAGTTTGGGTGTTGAGTTTACAACATGGTGTTGGAATACGCAGGAGTGAGGAAGGTTCTTAGTAAATCACTCAAGGGGGTTAGGTTAGAGATCGTACTGGTACTAAACACCCCGTGATATTATTCCGTCAGACTTGCTGTCATTTAGAACAAATCAAGAAATGTAGGTCATTTCCAACGATCAGCCAATTTAATTGATTTTTGGAATAAAGAGTCAGAATGACGAAATCATGTTTTGTGGTCAAAAGGTTGTACATGTTATATCCACTGAGCTGAAACTTCAACAGGTTAGGTTTTGTACAATCTTCTTTGGATTTTGAGTGGTGTTATTAATTGGAAACAAACAAAATGCATGAAAAGCAAATTTATGATGCTATCTGTACATGCCTTTAAATTCTGGTAACGAGGTGATTTAGCAGTTCGCAAGTTGAGTGCATTGTTTGTTGTCAATTCTGTCAGAATGATTTGCACCTTTGTATTGATATCATTTGCCTGATATTCCCAGGAAACGATGAGGATGTGGAATGTTTTCTCTGGTTGGTCTTATCTGTTTAGCTTGTACTATTCCCCTTAACCATGTTTCCTGTTGGAGAAAACAATTCAGAAAATCAGGGATGTTTCACTGGAACTTTTACATCACATTTGTACATGTGTACCGGTACATGTATGTTAGTGTCTAAATGCCTAGTCAATTGTGCAAAGTCATGTAAAAACTTTGCAAAAAAAAATTAAAACATTCATGCAGCCTGTAATCTAATTTTTGTTAACATGTTTCAGGTACTGAAAAAGGAGTAAAATATGACATTAACCCAAGAAAGAAAAAAATACATATGTTTCTGATTACCCTTCCCACCTAAAAACTCATGCAAGAGCTAAATATTTTTATTCACACACCCAAAAATCAAAGCAAATCAAAAACTTATAAAATGGGGCCGCCCCCACCCTACTGTTTGAGGACATCGTCCTGTATTTTTCTAAATTTTTATTTAGTTTTTTGCAAGTTGGTCAGCAGTGTGGTCTTGCCGCACCGTGCCCAACAGCACATCAAACGAAGTAGATTCACTTTGATAATTGTTAACTGTTACGAATGCTTGCAAAAAAACATAAAAATTTAATACCGACAGAACCTCCCCCACTTTGAAAATCTTACCCAAGAAAATGTAACAAGTTTGTTACTTTAAAATTGTACAAAGAAATTGGCTGGAGCGGGCCCCGCTCGATTCAATTGATTTGTTCAATTTTGAAATAATTAAAAAGCACCATTTCAGCTTCCCTGTGTGGCTTATGGAAAGTTTATAACTTTAACTATGTATTGACAGGGGCCAGTTTCCTGATTGTGCTTTTTACAGAATTGTGCTTAGTGCAAGTCACTGTAAGGTCACCAGACAAATTTCCTACAGTGTATACCACTTGTTACTTATTGTCAGCAGATAAATGCTGAGCACCTTTGCTAAGCAATATGTTGCCGGCTTGGCAGATTTTTGACATTGGTGCCAGGCTCTAGTCCTAGTTGATTCCACACAAGGAACATCTTATCATGGAGCTATTTATAGCTCCATGATCTTATGTAGTAACTTTTGAAGGTCATACCTTTGCATGCATATACCCATCACATTGCTAATCAAGTTTGTAACCACTGCCCTCATTGGCCATATACCTGAACGCTTGAGGGCGCTATTTCAATGCCCTTTTTGGGTCACAGAAAGAGAGAATGCACTTCAGTTGCAACAACATGTCTTAACAAAATTTCATTTATTGGTTGATACCATACATGTACATGTATGTATATATTCCTCCTGAATTTCCATTTGAAGGTACCCAGAATAAGTCAGGAATATGGATATTCAGTTAACCTTTAACCCTAAACCCTAATCACCTGACTCCACAAAGGTCTAAGGCTGTGTCCGAATCACCTGGCTGTGGCCAGCAATAAGGCACGAGTCTATGGGAAGTTGCTGCAGCCACTAGCCAGTGGATTCTGCGCTTGTTTTATTTTGGGCCTAAGATGTATTTGCAGTATATAGGTGCATTTAGAACTGCACAGCCGAGCTGATGTTTCTTTTACATTGTACATTAGGTTTCATCTACTGATTTAGTTCTACATGTGCAGATATTTTAGCTCAGAACCTTACTGAACCCTGCAAAGTCCACGAATATCCACAAAACCATTTCCATATCTGTTTATGCTATACATTTCAAGGGCATCAAGTCTTATGTTAAGCTATAGTGACTTGGCTGTATCTTCCTCAATCCAGAAAAAAATCTTCAGAACTTTATGGAATTTGAGGATGTCATCAATGTTTTGTGAATGCCGAATAAGTCATAAGTCGTATCAAAAGGCAATCATTCTCAAATCAAGTAACAAACTATTCCAGTAGACTTGCGACAAAGGCTTTAACCTTTGTCATTGCTCATCCCCTGTAACTTGTGACTTGACTTGTGACTTGACTTGTGATTTGGGCCCAATTTCATGGCACTGCTTACCACAGAATTCCGTGCTTACGATCACCATTCAGAGCTCACAGCACTAGCAGAAAAATTCTGTGCTAAACACAGAATCCTTCGTTACGGGATGTACGCATGCGCAGAAGCCAAAATTCCTCGCTTACCACTGAAATATGGTAACTGTAAGCACAGAATTTTCGGCTACAGTAAGCGGGCTTTTTTACGCTACCGGTAAGCAGAAACATGAAATTTGACCGTTGACTCAAAGTATGTCATATAGAATCCTTCTTGATGTAGCGTTTTGTGATTCTCTTTCTCATTACAGCTACAGCTACCGTTGAGGACAGACAGATCAGACCTCACACGCTCTATGTACACTCCTACAAGAGTCCAACATTCTGTGACTTCTGTGGACAGATGCTGTTTGGTCTGGTCAGGCAAGGCCTCAAATGTCACGGTAAGATGATATGGGGCTATGGGCTCCGTACACAAGCACCCCTCAATGGTTGTAAAGGGAGAGTTGGGGGAGACCACTGGGAGATACATTCAAACGCATTGCCGACGACGCGTGACTTTCACGTGAAGACGCGTGACTTTCACGTGAAGACGCGTGACTTTCACGTGAAGATGCCATGGCATTAAGTACCCCTCAATGGTTGTAAAGGGAGAGTTGGGGGAGACCACTGGTAGATACATTCAAACGCATTGCCGAAGACGCGTGACTTTCATGTGAAGACGCGTGACTTTCACGTGAAGACGCGTGACTTTCACGTTAAGATGCCATGGCTTTGTGCACATTCAGAATAAAATTAGGTGTGCGTACTCTGTGCTTTACGCGTGCGAACCAGAAAGCGCATGCAGTTTTGTCCTGTCCACTGGACTCTTGAACATGGTGAAAAAGTGCCCTCTATATTTGGGTTTGCACACTGGTTAATGCGTGCAAATGGCGAGGAGCATGCTTTGCCATTCAGCAGAATATGGGCTCCGTACGGGAACAAGAGAGGGAGCTTTTTGACCACTTTTGAAAGCCCAGTGGATGAAACACACAACGTGCGTGTAATTGTTCGCACGCGTATTGCGCGAAGTACATGTTCGCAACACTGACTTTATTCTGAATGTGCACAATGTGATAGCGTCTTCACGTGAGCGTCAGGCTTCGCTGGCAATGCATTCAAATGTCTCCCCCAGTGGTCTCTTCCAACTGTGCTTTTCTTACCGTTGAGTGGGTACATGTGCACAGAGCCCATACACAGAAAGGGGGAGATGGATACATGATGCCATGTTAACATTTTCATTCTCACATGTTTATGAATAAAGTACTGTACATCGATGAACATCGGGGGATCCACAGAAAATGTTCGTAATTGCGATCGTTCGGTATAGCGAGTTTAAGCTGCCGGTGCCCCAGTACTCACTTTTCAATAAATGTCGCCCTTCATTACTTCACCCTGCACGCCCTGGAAGTTACTGAAAGACGACTTCGAACACGTGCGGACTATTGAATTATGTAATTACACAGTTTTGAGCTTGCTACCTACAGCAATGGGTGGCTTTCCCCTGCTATTCCTTGGGGAAATAATAGCCACTTGTCGCTCTTCTGTTGACGGTTTTCAACAACAATGTTCGGTTTGTTTTGTACACAAAAATCGGGAGCCAAGGACGATGTTCGGTATAGCCGATGTTCGGTATAGCGTTGTTCGGTATAGTTACGTTCTACTGTATTGAGTATTTTACATAAACAGTTTCAGTGCTTTGCCAGTCATTAAATTAAACTGTTTCTGTCTTTTCTTGATCAGGTTGCGGCGGCAACTACCATAAACGCTGTGCATTTAAGATCCCCAATGACTGTACGCTATCCAAGCGACGGCCCTCCTCAATCGCTTACAGCTCAGCCAGCTTACCGTGGTCCACCTCCGAGATGAGCCTGGCCAGCGATACCAGTGATCCAATGGTAAAAGCTTTTTGTTTCACACTGACTGGCTCAATTTCGTGGAGCTGGTTAGCAGAAAACAAATATTATGCTAACTAGAAAAATAAACGGAGAACCAGTCGCAAGTGATACAAATCTCATGAAATATTGGATGGTAACCTGCATTTTGGTCATTTCGAACTAATGGTTACAAAAAGTGTGACGTTGGATGAGAACTTGGGATGGTAGTCATAAAATGAAGTCGTTTGCCATAGTTTTTGTTTCTGTACATTCTCGAGGGTATTACTTAAGAAATAAAGAAACTACAGGGGAATCACCTTTCAAGATGTGTCTGTCCATAACATGGACAGACATTTTATCATGTACTGTTTGTTATTTTGTATTTTTAACAACCCAATGATATGTTTTGAAACATTAATAACTTTTCTGTATTTTTGCAACGTTGACCTTCCATAGTTTGCCAACCCGTGGTGAGCAAAAAGTGTCAATCACGGGTTGGCAAAGTAGAGGCCTATACTGCCCCAAACTGCCCATAACTGCCCAAGCACTCAATGGTTTCATGGATTCATCAAAACGATGATGTCATCACATGACATGTGATGTCATATTAAAAGTGCATGTTTTGAAGGCCTACCGGTATATCTACCAAACGACACGACCGATTGGGTTATAAGTTGGTATGTACCCAGACCGGGATATGTTATAGATGAAAAATTGAAGTGACGTCACGATGACGTCATCACATGACATGTGACGTCATATTAAAAGTGCATGTTTTGAAGGCCTACCGGTATATCTACAGAACGACAGGACCGATTGGGTTACAAGTTGGTATGTACCCAGACCGGGATATGTTATAGATGAAAAATTGAAGTGACGTCACGATGACGTCATCACATGACATGTGACGTCATATTAAAAGTGCATACTTTGAAGGCCTATATCTGCAGAATTATAGGTTCGATTTGGTTGTAACTTGGTATGTACTAAATTGGGGTGTGTAATAACTATGAGTCTACAACACGACTAGAACATGCATTAACAGAATGCCGAAACAGCCAAGTGTTTGTCCACAAACATAAGTACATTTACTTTTCTTTGTTGGAGTGAAAACTGAGTTTCTGTTCTCTTTAGCAGACAGAAATCAGGAACTAGGTTTTCTAACCATTCTATAAAAATAAGCAAAACCTTGACACTTTGTAAAATCAAAGTGCAAGCCCTTACAATTTGCAGGGACAGAAATGAGCAATAGATGAATGGAGGAGGAAGTGAAACAAACATTTAAAACCCAGATCAATCACCAAACTCTCAGTCCTTTGATAAGACATTCTCCATCTAATCATATTTGAGCAAGGTGCTATGAAGGTAATTCCCCTAAATGATGAAGTTGTGAAACTGCTTCATATGACAATGTCCTTCCAGAAACTTGATTCTGTCCATCTCAGAGTAGCCTTGGTCAAGGCGCTAGTTGTTATTCATCCCGTAGCGCGGTAAACGATATCTAGTGCTAAGTACAGCGCGAACAGCGACCTCACGCGGCCACCATTTATATGCAAATCAGTTGGACCCAATCTAGCGCCTTGGTTCAATCGTCGGCAAAAGCTTATGTTTTTCTTTATTTTGCGCTGGATTTCTAGCGCACGACCTCGTATGCGAATACAGATAAGTGTAGGCGGGGCTAATATGTGGAGTGTCCAATCACACCTTGGTAAATTCGGACGTCATCAAATTATTTGCAGCTATTCGCCTTTTGCGGACGTGAGAGGAACCGCAGTTTTTGTGCATTGGTGCCATGTGCAGAGACACACAACGTGTATGTTTATGGATTATGTACGGTGCCACGTTTCACTATGCAAGTTTCCACGCAACGATCGACCAATAAGAAAATGACATTTAAGGTCAGCTAAGGCTATTAACATAATGAGCACCATCCCCAAAACCTCACATGGACGATTGAACCAAGGCGCTAGATTGGGTCCAACTGATTTGCATAAAAAAAGTGGCCGCGTGAGGTCGCTGTTCGCGCTGTATTTTTAATGCACTAGATGCATAGACATATGACTGCATGCATAGCGCTAGCGAAGATATCTTTTACCGCGCTACGGCCGGATGAATAACAACTAGCGCCTTGACCAAGGCTAATCTCAGAGCAAAGAGTGCAAGACACTGGCCTAAAAATAAAAATAAAAGTTTAAAAGAAAAAGACAACTTTTTTTCTACATCAATAGGAAGAAAATCTGAGGAAAATTAATTGTGTATTTTTCAGTAAGGAACATCAATTTAACTTAGTTTCTGACACAGATGTCATCATACTGAAGACTATAATATACTGAAAATCCTTTATTAAAACTGCTCATTGGTGCACAAATCCTACTTTTCAAAATCAATTGATGCACACACACAAAGATGGAACGTTAAATTGATACGCAAATGATATGGAAATAAACGAAAATGTTGTCTAAATGACAAAACGACATCATGTAAACAAAAAAATGAATAAAAGCAGAGGGACAGCTATTTTTAGGTTTTACTAATTGGGCGTTTTGTTTATTACTGGTTTTCCACAATCTATGCTGTTGTTCAAAACAGACAGCTATTTTAAGCATTCACATAGGGACAGTTTTTTTTACGTTTTACTAATTGGGCGTTTTGTTTATTACTGGTTTTCCTGCAGTCTATGCTGTTGTCCAAAGCAGACAGCTATTCTAAGCGTTCACCGTCCTGCGGAGGGCGCCCTCTATGGGTGGAGAAGGCCGTCGCGAGCCGCATCAAGGTGCCGCACACGTTCGTGGTGCACAGCTACACCAAACCGACGATATGCCAGTACTGTAGGAAGCTCTTAGTGGGGCTGTTTAGGCAAGGAATTCAATGCAAAGGTACATGTATGTCAACATTAACCCTCCTAGTCTTCTGTACTTCACAGCCCTTCAAGTTTTGCAAAACCACTTGACTTAGAACCCACACTTCAAATTCCTTTGAGGTAATCTTCTATGGAGTATGGATAACACTTCCAATCCCTTCACAATTCTCTTGTGTGGTTAAGCTCAGGGCAAGCAGGCAGATTCAGTCACGCTTCACTGCTCTCCACAGTGCTGGTTTTTGTGTGCAGTGACTCTCTGTGTGACACAGTCACTGTAACACTTCATATCCCTTCACCTGAAACTGGCCTACAGGGTTTTAAAGGGTTTCACATATTGCTCTTAAGATTGACTTCTTACTACAAGGGATAAAGGGCAAATGTCAAGGGCGTAAAGGGGGATGGGGGGATATATCCTCCCCCTCACACCCCACTTTTTGACCAGGGAGGATGGGCTATGGGATTCTTCCCCCCTTCTCCCTTCCCCCTTCCCCCCTTGCCCCCCCCCCCCCATATCACTTACTAACCATAGTGGCCCAAAGCAACCAGAACTGAAATGTTCATATCAGAGGCAGATTTCCAGTGTTTCAAACCTACCAACACGTGCAAAGTTGAACAATCTGAAATTTCATCATGCAGTTCTTCATTTGATAATAAATATTTAAAAAAATAATAATAAAAATAATAATAGAAAATCTATTGAGATTAAAATTTGTCATCTGTCACCCCTAATTCGGCTTTGTATGGATAATTCTTTTTTAGATTGCAAGTTCAACTGTCACAAACGCTGTGCTGAGAAAGTGCCCAAGGATTGTCTAGGTGAAGCGCCACTTCATGAACGTAAGTATATTATGCTATCATGAGTTTGAAAGAAATTAGTTGGAGTCAGCGATATCAGTCTGTATCTGACCATTAGCCTCTGTTTGAGCCTGATAAACACATTTATTGGTTATTCATAAATACCTAAGACAGTTTACGCATTCCTATTGGTCGAGAGCCCGTCACGTGGCCGGTCTTAAACGGATGATAAAGACATGGCTAGCTGGTCTTAAACACTTTTCCAGTGTCACATGAAATTTGGACTCCCATGAAATCCGGTGCCTTTTAACGTTTCATTGGTTGAACGTTCACATTCCTCACGTATGCATGCGCAATACTACCAGTGAATCAGTGTTTCATGGTCCGAAATTCACACTACACCAGCCCAGCTGCGTTTTGCGCGACATCGCGCAGTACGCGCGACGCGCACGCCAACGTCCTTATAAGGCAATGAGTTGTGGAGGGGCATTCCATATTATAGTCAGAGGGGTGTTTCGTAAAACATGAAGTAAAATTGTTCTACAGAATGGTTGGCAACGTCTAGTTTTTGACTTGTTTTGATTTTTGGACCAAAAAGATTTTGTTTTTTTACCGAAAAGGTATTTATGAATGGGAATAAAATATGTGTTCGGTCGGTATTAAACACTCTGTTTAAGCCCGGTGGGAGTCTTGATGGGTGACCTATCCAGACTCCCACCGGTCTTAAACAGAGTGTTATAATACCTCCTGAACACACATTTATTCCCTTATTAATCACCATAGCAAAGCTTGACTAAATCTAATTCCTGATGTTCTCAGGCGAGAGTGAAGACCAAGAGAAGCTGAACGAGAGCGATGAGAATGAGCCTGAAGAGAACGACGCCTCCACCAATCGGGACAGCCTAGGAGACACCCAGGACGAGGATGTAGGACCAGAGGCTGATTCTCCACCAGGCCCTGATAACCCTCTCAGGTTAGTAGGCTATGTCATCTTAAGTTCCTTTATTCAGGTTATAGGTCCTTCATCAAGGCTGTGATACTTTGAGTAATGATGATGTAGGACCAGAGGCTCATAGTCTTTTAGGCCCCGATAACCCTGTCAGGTTGGACCATAAAAGCTATCTTCCTTTTAGTCTGAAATAGTCATGTACCTCATAGTCTACAATCCTGGCCAAATCTCGCTGGGCCCTAACCCCCCGGCCCCCTGTCAATGTTGTCTCTCATTGCGCGGTGTGTGCTCCATCAGCTGGAGAGAACAACATTGACCGGGGGAGCGGGGGAGTGGGTGACCGTGAAAGGCTAAGGTTATTTCCAAGTGTCCCAACCATTTTGGCCGGGATTGTAGGTCCCTCATCAAGGTTATATCACCTTAAGGTCCCTCATCCAGGCTTTCACCTTAAGGTCCTAATCCAGGTTATGACACCTCATGGCCCCTTAATTTGGTTATGTCACCTAAACGTCCCTCATCCAGGCTAAGTCACTTCAAAGTCCCTCATAGGAGATACGTCACCTTAAAGTCCATTATCCAGGCCATGTCACCTTAAGGTCCCTCAATTAGGCTACATTACCTAATGGTCCCTCATATACATGTAGCCTATGTCACCTAAAGGCCACTCATCTGGGATGTGTCACCTTAAGGTCCCTCGTCCAGGCTATATCACCTTAAGGTCCTCATGCAGGATAAATTGAAGTATAAGGATGTACATGTAGGACCAGAGTCTTATGGTCCCCTCGGTCGTGACACACTCAGGTTCAACCAGTGGTTGAAAGGACAATATATGCCTTCCTGAAATGGAAAACAGACATTTTTGAAAAGAAATGCTCACACGTGTTAGCAGTGACATCCTTATGTCTCGGGTCCAACTGACTCCTATGGTGTGCTTGATTTCCTCAACAGCCCTGTACAGAGCAACAACATTCCGCTGATGCGTATCGTTCAGTCAGTCAAGCACACCAAGAGGAGAAGCTCCCAGGTGCTGAAGGAAGGCTGGATGGTGCACTGTACGGACAAAGACAGCATGGTAGGATACAGCCATTCATGAGATCTTGGCTTTGTCGGCGGCTTCGGCTTCTGGCTTCGGCTTCAGACACCCTTATACAGATTGCTGCCACACAGTGTCATGCCATTCACGCCATCTTCTTTTTGTTCTTGAAAAATTAGTGAAGAGGCATAATTTACCACTACCATTTGGTACCTGCACACGTACACGATTGTTGCAAACTGTTAGACATGAAATCACACACTGATTTAGGCCAAGTGAAGGTTAAAATGCAAGAAAATATCAAGTCTTTTCCAAAAATACATATCAGTGGTCATGACAGAGAACAGTAAACGAATTGTAAAACTAGATGAAAAAGAGCTCTTTTTGTCATGTTTTGACAGCTCTATACTATTTGGCTAGTCTTGGTTCAAGAATTCTCCTAATGCAGCCAGTCCTACGATGAAGTCTCTGTTGCGGTAGAGAGTATTCAGATCCAATCTTGGGAATTTTGACAGCACTTCCTACGAAATTCCTAGCATTCCTCACACACGTGCATTAGCTTGAATACAGCGCGCGTGAGGTATACTTGGAATTTCCCAGGTAGCGCTGCCAAGATTCCTAAGACTGGATTTGAATCATCCTGTTGATAGAGACTTCTACAGCCACGGCAGCTTTACCAAGCGTGTCAGGTACCGGTTGTATTAGGGGAATAACAACCAAATCCAGTCTTCGACCGAGACTACTGTTTGGCAAGCTTCTAGCAACAATGTGACATCATAGAGGCATGACTAATCACATTACAGTATGCTAATTAGCTGACACTTTTTCACTAACAGTTTTCAACCTGGCTTCGGAAATATGCAGTGGCCTCAACCAGGTTAGAGGTCAATGACGCTCTGGCCATTCTTAGACTCTTAACCTAATAACTGTTACGATACCAATGAAAGCATTCTTTCACTGGAACTGTAATAGTGCACGAAGTAGTATCATTTGGTTTAGTATCATTTAGTTTTAGTTTTATTCTCATGATCATCTTTTTTTTGTGTCGGTGTTTTATAGCGCAAGCGACACTTCTGGAGGATAGACACAAAGTCCATCACGTTGTATCAGAGCGACAGTAGCACACGGTACTACAAGGTAGGTATCAACAAAGTAAAAGCTTGCATTGTTTGTTATTTGTTTCTGCCAACCAAAATTCTCTCAGAGTTTGTAGAGCTCACAGACTGTAAAAGGTATAATGCATTGTTTGCATTTGTCGTAATTCTATCAAATGGACTGAATTGGGGGCTAGTCATTCATGACAGATTGTACACATATGGACTGGCAATGAGGTCACTAGTGCACGTTTATGCGCCCCGGGGGACTGTGAATGACCAGAAGAGGGGTCCTATTTCCCAAGGCCGAAGGCCGAGGGAAATAGGACCGTCTTCTGGTTCACTGCGTAGTTGAGGATTTTAGACAATTCAGGCAAGTCCAAACAACAACCATAAAAGTATGGATTGGCAAACATGATGGCGTAGTTGTCTTGAGTAAAAAAGGACTTTTGTAGAAATAAGGAGCATGTATCCCATCATTGTCGACGTTAACCACTCGGAAAGTTGTCGGCGGGGGCTCAGCATATTTGTGGGTGTGACAGTTTTGAGGTAAATTAGTTTTCTGAATCAGAATAGGGCAGTTGGATTTCTTTTGCTTGTCTTTTAATAAAGATTTGAATTAAGTACGTGAAGAGATTGACATTTGGAACAGTTAGAGGCCACTTCATCAAAAATTCCACTTTGTGTTGGTTTCAGAATGACTTCAGAGTCTAGTCCATGGAAAAGTAGTGCATAAAGTTTGCCTGCTTCTGATACATTTGGTTGGACGCCAGTCTGATCAAGTGTAATTGTCGCGCCGTTGATTGTCAGAACTTAACTCGCCTAAATTTCAAATAAATAACCCGTTAGGAGATCCCGCTATCTGAGATTCTGGCCGTCAAGACCGGCTCCAGCGACGAAGAGAAATCCAGCCACTGCTTCGAGATCAAGACGGCCCGCACGATCTACTTCGTCGGCGAGAAGAAGGAGGTTGCCATGGCGACGCTGACCGTGGACGGGGAGGAGTCGCCGACGGAGAGCGGCATCGGCATAGAGGTGGCCAAAATCTGGGAGAAGAAGATCCGACAGGCGTTGATGCCCGTCACGCCACAGCAGAGCACCACGAGTGTCACCAGCAGCTCCAGTCCAAGTAAGATGCTAAATAAGCTTAATCCTCAAGATATTCTACCAAAAAACGCCACCTGTGTACGAGATGATTCCTTCGCCCATTCCCAACTGGGGACTAATTACATGGAGCTGAAATATTTTGTTTTGCAAATTAATGCGCTGAGCAGAAACTAATACCGCACTCAGGTCGACTTGCGATTTGCTTGCACCGCAACCAAACCATCGGCATGAAGCAGAAAAGTAATGCTCAAGTCACAATACTGAGTAATCGTGTGATTCTCGTAGAACAAGCGGCATCTCGACACAAATAATCGCAACCATGCTCACATCATCCACTGCTCTACAACGTTTTGGAAATGGCAGTGCAGGTCTTGATAACAATCAAACGGTCTTCCATGGCCACGTCTGTTCATTCGGCCATTTTTGCCGCACGACGTTGTAACTTCACATCGGTCGAATTGAGATTGATTCCTGCCTGTCATGCAGGAATAGGTTCCTTGGCGGCGCAGAAATTGACATTTTTCTACTCTTTCGAGAGTTGAATTTTTGTTTTGAGTGCCAACTGATGCCGATCGTCTTAATGTCGTCGCAGCTACACTCAGGTCGCAAATATTTGGTGACTGATATGTCCCGACAGTCGTAGTTCAGGTGCAGCTTCATCTTGAAAAGTCAGTTTGACTGATCTGTGTCGTCCCAAGGTTGACCTGAGGTTGGCTTAATACTTAAAAAATTATGCACTGAGCAGAAAAAAATTGCTAAACAGATTTATGTGCTGAGCAGAAATCTGCGGAGAACCAGTGACGAGCAGTCAACATCACGTGACATTTTCACTGGTACTCTTGTTTTGCTTAGCAGATTGTTCAGCGCTTAGCACGGTTCTGTGCATATATAGCTTCATGACATTGGCCCTTGGTTGCCACCAAGACCGTTGGTATGACGTCGTTCCAGTGTCCTCAGTTTGTAGGTACAGAGCACAAGCGCGGAGATATTTAAAATACTTTAATGTTTTTGTTGTCATCCCTGGTCCAAATGTTTGGAATTTCTATGTCGTATAGGTATGCATCGACTAACTTTTCAAATTGCGACAAGCTCCATCTAAGTGCCCATCTCAACTGATATCCGGGATGAGTTCGCACAAGTCGCGAGTAGAATCATTCACTTTGTCTGGAAGAAGCTCTACATTTGTTCTGGAAGTGTTCCGGGAAAACTTTTATTAGCAACTGCTTGACTCACCAATACTGATGACTTCATTGCGGGAAGATTGCAGGGAAGTTGTTAAGAATCCTGCAACTTCTACCCAGTACAATGTCTGCAACTTGGTCGGAACTCGTCCGGATATGAATAGAGACGGGCCCTAAACTGGGTTTTGTTTACCAAAAAGTTGGTTGTTGCTTAAGACCTGTTGCAACTTCCAGTCACCCACCCCAGTTTTGCTAGGGCCAAATGTTGATAAATTGACTGTAAAGATTTTCTGAACTTGTCACACTTTAACTTGTTATTTTGAAAGTTTTTGAACGGGCAAAATCATTTCTTAATCCTTTTTATTAAATTATTTTTAACATCTTTTGAATGATCAAGAACATGGTTCATCTTTTCAATTTCGAATCTCGGGGAACAAATTTGTTCTGCAAATATCCTAATTATTAGACAGTAGTTAACATATTGATGATATAACCATTGCTGGTTGTTTGACAATGCAAATTGAAACGTTTACCTCAGCATATTCTTGGTATGCTAAGCAGGTGTTATTTGCTTACTTTTTAAATCCGAGTTCTGCAATCGGATAATGCACCTGCATATTATTTTGTACCGCAGCTTAAGCAAGCTAAGTGTTAAACCACACAGACTTGTTACTGCAGCTGGGATTCGCACAAATATCTGATTTTTCTTCTTCATCTGGTAAAACTGGTTTGTTGGTTTCGCTTTCAATACATAGTTTAATGCAACAAGAAATGATTTATAACTATTTAATGTCCTAAATAGGTACACAGTTAAAAAAAATTCCTTTTTTTTTAACGAATAGCTTTTTTTATTAGGACGGCGAATTTTTTAATACAAAATACAAAATGTAAACATGCATTAGAATCCAATTGTAATATTTATATTGAATCGGTCTTTGTTTTCATTAGAGAGGTTTTGTTTTGTAAAGACAACAGAATGTTACATCTCATTGATATTGATATTGTCAGGGCTCTGTTTTTCCGCAATCCAACCAAATCCTTGAAATCCAGTGGTAGATTTTGATAGATGTGGATTTCGTTTCTTCATCAAATTGGGTTAAGCTTTATTGCACCCCACGCTTTCCAAATCATATGTCTTTCAAAAGAGTTTTACACAGTGCAGGAAACATTCACAGCAAATCATTTCTCATTACAAAGTCCGAAATCTTACCAATTTTTTTTTTTAAAAAATGGTGTTGGATTGAAAGACTGCGTTCAGGCTTAGTGATTTTTTTGACGTGTATCACAAGGCCTCCTGTTCTTTTCAATATCCTCAACCCTTACTTCTCCCCCTTCCCCCCTGCCCCATCCCCTCTTCCAATATTCTACCCCTCTTCCTCCTTCAAACTACAAACCTGCCACAGTGGAGGTATCATCAGGGGAGTGTACGTGCAACAGCCGGCCAGCCCACTGTCACGCCCACCACACCCACCACGCCTCCTCCGCTACCTCCACCAACTCCTCCTCCATTCCTCACAATGTGTCTTACGCCGCCGCGTCGACGGGCGTCGGCACGGTGGGGCCCAGCATCCCACACCATCACCGCTACATGGTCATGCATCAGCTCTCCCCTCCAGAGGAGTCACCGGGTGCGGTCAGCCAGCCGACCCCGCCCAAACGGGCGGGGTCGGCCGCCAACAAACCCACGGAGAAGTACAAAGGGTACACGCCCCATAAACGAACCAGTGAAGGCAGCTATACAGCAATTGGTACATGCTCTATCCAGCTCTTTTCCTTACACCGCTACCATCACCTACCCCTCTTCCCTCTCTCACAAGCCAACTAACACGGTCAGAAACGCTTTTAATACCCCATCTCTTTCTCCATATCTAACGATCTTCATTTACAGCCTCTTCATCGTGCAATTAACAGCAATCGTGAATTAATAACCGTTCTAGCTTTTAGTTGACAGACTAAACCATTTTAATACAAATGTATTTAATCTTCTGTTTTTTTATTTTTAACGTGTTCAGGATTGCAACAAACCAATATTGCAACTAATCCTAATTTGTATGATTCTAACCCGCTTGTAGATAACGTCTTAACATTCAGACCTTTGAAAAGAATTTTTTACAAAACTTTTTTAAATACTAAATTCACATTTTATCAAAAAAAGAAAAAGAAATCGAAAATGGAACAGATCAAAACAGGCAGAAACACTGTAAGTTTTTATTGAATGCCTTAACATTTTCAGGAAGATTTGTCAAACGATTATCCCATTTGTGGTTTTAACAGCTCCCATGTACAATGTAGCATAAATATTTCCATAAACCGGTAAATATCATTATCAACTGACCACTTTTTTGGATTTCAGCCAAACCCTTACAAAAAGTGTCCTTTTTTTTTTTAAATTATGTATCTTTGTCATGAGCAAAAGCAAAAAAGCAAAACTTAAACCAGCCGGGCAGTTTGTTGCTTGGTGCTAAGCAGATTCTGACTCTGTGACATTGGCCCGTGTGTATGTGGGAAACCAAGCACAAAATGTAGAAGCCTGACGTAGGCTGCCAGTCTAGCTGCAGATCTCACCAGTGCTATTGTTGTGGGGCAGGTCCAGGAAGTCCAGGAACTATACCGCGACTAAGCCAAAGCCGCATCCGAATTACTTGGCTACGGCTTTCGATTACACATGCACATATATGGGAGCCGCTGAAGCCGCTTTCCATAGGCATGTGTGTAAATGGCAGACATAGCCAATAATTTTGATTTGGCCTAACACTGTCCTCACATGTTAGGAGCTTTCCCTCACGTCTTGCACCATCCAACTGCTGTACACTGCATGTGAGTTGCATTAGCTCCCAAGCTCTAGTGTGCTTTCAAGCAGTGAAAAATAACACGATATTACACTACGTGATTTGGAAAATGGTTCTCTGCACTGGTTATGGGAGCGATTTCATTTTATTTTTATTTTTCCATACCACATATCAGCTACCGTATATGGGCCCATATCGAAGCACGTTCAGTTGCAAGTCAGTTTCTTGGCCTCTATTTTCCTTTGAAAAAAAAAATCCTCCAAACCACAAATTAGCACTAGAAAAAGGTTCTATATGACTTTAAAAACTGTTTTGAAAAGGAAAAAGAAGAATTAAAGAAAAAAAGAAAAAAAAGGAAAAAGCAAAATCACATCCAATTGGACTCGAACCTGTGACCTACAGATAGGAAGTCTAATGCAGTATCCACTAGACTACTGTGCCGTGCTGTTTCAAACATTATATAATTCTCTAATCCCATAACTTCATTATGTATAGCGCCCTCTAAAGTGAAATCTCTGTATAGTCCGAATATGTGGTATGGAGAAAAAATGTACGCACTGGGAGCAAGTTGCCCACAAAGCTTGAATTTGACCAGTGTGCAAATGTTAAAATGCCCTCAGTTTTCTCACAATGTGATTAGTTTGCACAGCGCCCTAAGTTGTACATGCACACAGTCATATGTTTGACGTTAGACCATAGTCCCTCGGCCTTAACTTCTGGACTTGCCCCTCATGTACATGTACGTACTCTGTCTCAACTGAACTTATCAAGGTACAACTGACCTTCACAGATGCTTGCCTTTTTTAGGTGTCCGTGATGAGTAACTTGCCCATAATGCGTACCAGTTTCGTGTATCATTGGGGCTTTGGTCAGCATTTGAAAATGTGGTGTTCAATAAATTTTCCTTCAAGTGAAAAAGAAAAAGTTACTGAAGTTTCCTGCTTGTACATACATTTTCATTAACAAAACAATGGATTATCCAAAACAGCCTAAAGATGCCCTCAACTCATGTTCCATGGAAGTTGAGGTCTTGAACTTTTAATTCTTGTTACGTGAATGTGTTTCATAAGCAAACATCAATATTATATAAAACACAAAATATACATCATCCAAATTAAGTGCCTCAGCGAAATGTTAAAAGTTTTGGGCTTCACGAATGACAGGTTTCCTTGACATTTTTGGCAGAAAAAAAAAAAAAAATTATATAATTTTTTTTAAACAGATGCCATACGATGTAATGACTTGCTAAGACCTTGAGTTCAGTTGAGACTGTAAATTCACGCATGCTTTAGTCACTGCACTGTAGCACATTGGATAAAAAGCGCCAGCAGTACTTGTTTGCAATGTGAAACATGTAGCTATTATCCTCACATGTTTAGTGGTTTAAAGAACCGTTGTCACATGAAAATCCGACTCCTATGAAAATCGGACCCCTATTTCCCTATTATTGGTTGATCCCTCGCACGTGCCAGGTCACTCTCCCCAAACGATCCTAAAAATAGCATAGTATCGTACTCACGCGTGCGCAGTATTACCAATGAGTCCACATTTCATGGAGTCGGATATTCACGCTACACCGTCATTTGATTGATGTATTTGGAAAGCGACACTTCAGATATCCTTTACACTCTCCAAACGATGTCCTTAATGATGTCAGAAAGAATCAAGAAGTTGATTCAAAGTAAGTCTTAGCACAAAACTGGATTTGGTGATTTTTCTCCTAATACAGTCGGTCTCTGACGAGTGTCATAATGCTGCTGTGGTAGAGGTCACTATTAACAAGATACATTAAAGTCCTTGGAACTTTGGCAGCACTACCCAGGAAATTCCGAGCATGTCTCAGGTGCGCTGTATTCAAGCTAATGCTCGCACGTGAGGTATACCCAGAGTTTCTTGGGTAGCGCTGCCAATATTGTCAAGACTGGTTTTGATTTATCTTGTTGATAAAAATCTCTACCACAGGGACAGCTTTTCTACTCTTGTCAGGGACCGTTAGCTATTTTTGATCATAAATTCATTTTTCCGGGGTAAATCTTCTTCTTTTTTCAGTGTAACCTTGTATTGTTACTGAAGTTTCTTACGTCTTTGGCCTTTTCTTTTTCGTACCGTACATGTATACTGTACATTTGCTCAACCCGAGGCAAAACGAGTGAAAGAATATATTTTAGAGAATTTGATGAGGTTACTCGAGGGATGTTTCAGCAATCAATCAGCAGTAAAAACAAAAACAACCAAATGATCTGATTTTTTTATACCAATTCATAACCTTTGTATGTATTAGCTTTCTAGACAAATATTTTTGCATCTGTAAGGCTTTGTGTTTCTGTACGTACCTGCACCGTCTTGCGAACTTCAGAACTGTCTGATCACTTTACATGCAGTGTATTCTAAGTTAGTTATATTCTTGTAGAATTGTGTTATAGAGATTAGAGTTAACATGTGTGCCACGTCAAGTTCCGTAGATAGAAACAATGTTTACTAATAATGACAAGTAGTTAAAAAAACAAAGTCAGGTTTACTCTCCAAATGGCATTTCCAGTATCAAATTAAGGTCTGTGAATGCAGTTTATTTTATTGATAGACTGCAGATAAAGTACTTCAATTTTTACTATTTTTCCCAAAGAAATTTTAGGCGGTGATTTTTTTTTTTCACTTTGTGTGCAGTTGAGCATGTAAATTGATTTTTCACGAGAATATAGCACATCCGGGCACCATGTATAGGATGTACAACATGTGTAACATCCTATTTTTTTTATATTTATTTTGTGTCCTGACTGGGCCCATCCAATCAAGGGCAATAAATGGGTATTTCGAAGAAAGAATTTTTTTTTTTCGATTTGCAACATATTGAAAATATTGCAAGTTTATGAGTGTTCTAAAATTGAACTTGTTGACCTCAACTTCCATTCTGTCGATCCCGCTGATAACGTGTGGGTGAATTCAAACACAGGAGCCCGTAACCAGACTAGTCAGTGTTTGGTACCAAGATGTTCACAGAAAAAGTGAACGTGGACTGGCGAGGCTTACACGGTCTATTGTGTGAACTATCAGATTGAACATTAACTGTTAGTAGCAAGTACAACTTGAGCCTGTTTACAAATGGTTCACTGAATAAAACAATGGAAACGCTTTTCGTGAAAAAAAGTTTACTTTGGAAAAAAATGACAAGCTACTTGGTTTTAATGGACCAAGTTTGGATGATAAAAAGTATGGTTTGGGGCTCTGTGAGGTTAGTATGGTTTAGCCTACTAGCTGCTTTAGCTCTATGGCTAACCTTATGGCTACTCTTAACTGTATGGCTAACTTCATTACTACTAATATAATGGCTACGCAGTTTGGCTGTGCCTTTGCTATATGGATAAGAAAAAAGTGCATGTTCAATGCAGACCTCTGGTGCTGAAAACCGCAGCGAACATGTTTCAGTGAATATCTGGGCGCCATTTTTCGCTGTCTGCCCTCTACTAGTCCTCTTTAATGAGTCGTGAACGACACACATTGAATGCCGTGCATTGTTTTGTGTTTGCATGCTACGAGTGCTGTTCTGTCTGAGAAACAATTCACAAACTAATATATAATGTAGCTGTCCACTTGGGACCACTGAGCTCTCTACTGACTGGATAGTGCATTGAGAGCGCAGGCTGAAGTCACTAGACGCCATCTTGGGAGGCCAAAACCTAAAGATGTGTGCAAAATCTTGATTCACTTCAACATAGCATGGAGTACTTTCTGTACATATGTCTATCCAGCTCTCCTTTCCAGAGTTCCTTTATATAGGAAATAATGCGCACTGACCTATTATGGGCCGAGCGGTGTGGCAGCCATATTGGGAGCACCAAAAAAACGAATTGCTGCGGCTTCACAGCTTGGTGCACAGTGATGGGCGCATGCACTACCCAGTCAGTGTTGAGAGATCAGTGCCACTGTTTGTAACAGTGCCCTCTGTTGGTAATGTGCAGGGCGAATATTAGCTCCCATAAGTCTGTTAAAGTTTAGTTAGGAGCCAGTAAGAAACCAAAAACAGCAAATTGGGTGAGATTTTCGGTCGTAAAGCAAAAAGGTGTAAAAGTCTGGATTTAACCTCATGTTTGGCTTGTAGGTTCTGGTGCTACAAACGAGAACGGCGAACACTTGATCCTGGACGAAACGGTCCGACATGAGAAGAACGACATCAGCCAACACTACCAGATATTTCCTGATGAAATTCTTGGATCGGGACAGTTTGGAATTGTCTATGGAGGTAAGTAAAAAGATTACGGTGGATTTCACATAGCCGAGAATATTGCGTAGCAAATTTATGCATTAAAACGTGAAAAAGATGGGTACCAGTTATGAGCAGTGTATGTCCAATGACATTTTAGCTTGTGACCTGTTGTGCTTAGCAAACATTTTTTTGTGCTTATCAGGGCCATGGAATCTGTTGTGAAAATGAAAACTTCTGTTGCGGTCCTCGTTTCATGAAGATCTTAAGAATAAAACATTACTTTGTATAAAACACCTGAAAAAAATCCCCGTCATGTGATTGCTGGGTCGTTGATCACAATTTATCCCTCCCAACGCACGGCGCAGTCACACTGCAAAAAAAGAGGTTCCGTTCCATGGTAAATAGAACTTCCATTGCACGGTCACACTATTGGTTGAGCTCTGATGACTTTAATGCTGTACATTCATAGTACCAGTTTACAAGCAACAAATCAGATCACAAGGATTTATTCAGGTGTTGTTTAAAACAAATAATGAATGTTTCATAATCGTGCAATAGTTCGCCTCGTTGAATGGAACATTCAATCTTTCAACGAATGAAAATATTCTCACCATTGCACGAATGCAAAACATTCATTATTTGTTTTATATAACATCCAAGTAGATCTTTGTCATTCGATTGGAGGAAAAACTTTAAGAACAAACGAAACTCACAAAATTGCATCATATCCACTCCTTTTTTCAGCTTGTTCAAGGATAACATTTGGTTTAAATGTCAAATCATGGACACTAATGAAAAACAATATTGTAAGTTTTTTAAACAAAACATCATCAGGGCAACTGCATCAACTTCAGATGCAAGTTTTGTACTGCTATGAACGCATGCTATATGGTCTAAATAGCGCAAAGATCGATGGTGCCGGGCCGCTGCGCGTCTCTTTAGCATGCACACAGTGTGCAAAAGATCAAAAGGGATCGGACGAAAATGCACAGTGAATGGAACCAAAAATGCACGGTTATGACGTAGGCCGTGCAATGGTTCGATCGTGACCTTCAATCCTCCAATCAAATGACAAGGATTTACTTGGGTGTTATATAAACAAAAATAATTTTACGAGGTGGCAGATGGAATGCACTCATAAACATTCATTATTTGTATACCACATCCATGTGATAAGCAGATATCAGCCGACAATAAATCAAATACTAGCCATATACCTTGCATGACCTTTGGGTGGTAAGCTTTTTTTGCTGAGTAAATTATTTCTGTGCTAAGTAAAGTTTTGTTTTTGAGCTTAGCAGTTCCATAAAATAGTGGTTCCTGCTGTCCAGGAAAAATCTCATCTCTGGTTTTTGTTAATTCGGGCGATTCACAATGCAGTGCGCCACCAAGAGTTTGTTAGGAGAGTTCATTTTTCCCAGTGCATCGTGGGAGATGGTCGACAAATTCGCAGCGCGGGACATTTGAAATTGTTAGTTTTTCCGGCCAGAAAGTTTGTAAGCGTATGATTCGAGTATCTGTTAGCCCTTTTCTTTTCGTTTTATCAATATGGAGTTTTTTTGTAAGGCGGCAGAACGCTTTGCCCCAATCTATAACAAATTAGCTCAAGTTTTCTACTGACGCTCGTTCAAATGGGCCATGTTTTGTCGACTGTGACCTTGAAAAATGAACTCTCCGTGGCAAACTCTTGGTGTCGCACTGCATTGTGAATCGCCCGAATCGCCAGTTATCTCTCTTTTCCCATCTTTTCCATGTGGACTCAAAATCTTGTTTTGTATGTTTCTTTTCTCTCATAGTTTTCCTTAAAAACTTCTTATTCTGTGGACTTTGACTCCTGTAAATGGCAAATTCCAAATTTCCTAGTACAAACGGATTAATTTGTGATGGGAAAAAGAGCAAATCTTCCTCACTTCTTTGTAAAATGATAGAAGTTCGGAAAGTATGCCACTTTTCTAAAATTACTTAAGTTTTCTAAAAGTCTATAAGAAAATGCGGAAAAATTGGGTTAGAATTATGCACAAGTTTTGATTTTTTTCGCCTTAAAGTCAGATATCACAACCTTGTAATCACCTTTTTTTAATGTTACTTTTCAGGTGTTCATCGTACTTCTGCCAGACAGGTTGCAATTAAAGTGATTGACAAGTTACGCTTTCCTACAAAGCAGGAGACGCAACTCAAAAACGAAGTCTCAATTCTACATGTAAGTATAACATTGTCGGACAATACAGGGGGGGGGGGGGGATTCAGGATCCGATATTTGAAACGGTGCATAACTTACACCATGCGTAGGGTTTATTGAACTGTTTAAAGTTATGATCAATTTCACGAAAGTTGGCAAAGTTGTGCCATGTTTTCAAATATTTTGATCATCTTGGAAGAGAATAACAGATTTTACGACTGCTGTTTAGTGTACAATTTCATATCTGCCACAAAACTGTCGTTGAATTAGCTCCGCCCATGTTTTTGAAAATAGTTCGGTCTCATTTTCTGTGTAAACAGGCTGCAACTCTAAACAGCCCTTATTCGTATTTTATGGCCCTTTCAACCAATGCTGCACATTTCAACTTTGAAAAGTGTGGCATTGTCAGGCTCCATGACGATTATAGTTAGTCCGTGAAATCGTCCATTTACTATTTTAACTTACACCACCTGAAATGACTGCTTAAGATGTACTGTGTCTTTAGTACTTTCACAGCCTACACAATAAAATCTGGTGTAAGTGGATTAATATGTAACGTTTTATGAAATCAGCTTCAAGGATTTTAAGGCTGTGGGTATTTCTAACGAAAGTTGTTTATCCTTTTTTCCCGTAGGATTATTGTCAAGATAACATGGATTATTTGTTGTTAACTTGTCATTGGAGAGTTTTCTTAATTTTCACACGAAAGGGGTTTAAAGTATATACTAGATACACACTAGAACATTGACATAGTGATCTGATGCACTGTGCCCTCTGGAGACATGCACACAATAGGGAACAAAAGATTGTATACGTCTCCACAGGTAAATTTCTATAGATGAATACGTCTCCACAAGGTTTTCACGAAATAGATATATGGATTTTACTCAAAAACTAGGAATTTCCAAGGTATGTTGATCGGTCGCAATGGTGGAGTTTTAGAAAAGGGATATTAAATCCGAATTTCAGCCAAGGAAATTAATTCTGGTTAAAATAAGAGCATTTTAAATCTGTACTTTCAAACTCGAAAACCTTTGTACACGAGAACAAAGAAATGTCTCCACAAGGATACAGATTTCAGTACGTGTGTATTTTGGTGCAACAGATTGCGTGTATATAATTGCTTATTGCAATTTGGGAACAGACAAAAAGTTGGGAAAACTAAAGTCATCGTCAAAAATAACTCCATTCAGAAACTGGTTAGAAATTTTTAGTAGGAAGACATTAATCTTAGCTAAGAAGCATTAGTTTATCCTGTGAAGTTTTACAAAGTAATCTACTGTGCTAGTGTTTACTGCCTAGCGTAGATATTTTGTTAACCAGGCATTTACAGCTCTAAAATTGAGGGAATCTGTAATCAGGAACCACGGGCAATTGTGCAGTTGCCGTTTGCAGGCATCTGGCTGTTTCCTCTGTAGCTGGAAGCGAAATCTGTGGAGACCATAGATTATAATCCATGGCCGGGAGGCATTAATCAGCAATTTGACCCGCTCTTTTGGTGTTCAAGGGTTTCTAACGAACCTCCAGTTTACGGATGAATTATGTTCTCTTTTCGTAAAGCTTGCATAGCTTCATGACGTACAAAAACTGCCAGTACACTGCATTGTGAGCACATTAAACTTCCTTAGGATAGCGTGTGACTTGCATGATCACAACACCGTCCATGATGTGTACCTTAAGATAAACAGTTCCACTTCGGGAGTTAACATCAACATCAACAACAACATCAACAACAACAACAACAACAACCCCTCCCCCCACCCCCCACCACCAGTCCAGGTCAGAGTACGGGCCTTGGAAACCATATAAGGATAATGATGATTGTTGTCTTAGAAAAACGGATTGAGACCGTGTAGGCAATGTCTAAAAATTGCACAGCTCTTAGAAATAGCCTCAATTAATGCAATGTAGTGACGTCCATGTAAAAAGTGCACAGTATGGGGTCTAGGCAAATCCATTTTTGCAAGTAATTACGAGTAATATAGTACTAAACTAATGAGGTTGATCAGGTTTACTTAACCCTCCTAGTACTGGGTATGATACTTCCACCTTCCTGAGTGCTTTTATGCAATCGGTAACTTGAGCATACATGTACATATGTAAAACAGTCCTGTTATTTACATGTAACTAGCAGAATCTTGTTCAAAATAGAAACACCCATGAGCTGTACAAAAGAAGAGATGTATGATCACTATGCTCCCATGGTTGAATTATTATGGTAGCTATGGTTAAAATAAAACTGCCTCAAAAATAAGCCATCTGCAAGTTAGAGTTGAAAGAGGGATTTAAGAAATCTTTAAATATTTCATTTTTGTGTCGCCTAAACAAAATTTTGGGAGACTAACCAGTCCTAAATTCTGTATCATCATAGCCCCGTAGCCTCATATGTATGTTAATGTTTTGAAAAAATGTATAACTACTATATGCTTTCATGGATTTTTGATGAAACTTGGATGCAGTGACCCTTGGGTGGGAAGACACAATTCTTTATCGGATTACTGAGGTCAAAGGTCATGTAGGGGTCATTAGAGGTCATTTTTTTCAAATATGCTTCAAATGTTAGAATTTGATGGATTTTAATGTAACTTGGATGGAGTGATCCTTGGGTGGGGGTTCATCACACCTCTTCCGAAATTGGAGGTCAAAGGTCATGAAGGGGTCATTTCAGGTCGTTTAAAATTGCACAAAATTTGACTTCTTTTTTTTTTCAGAACACAAAACCTATAAGGATCGATGACGGAAAAAGGCGACACATGCGGTCCATAGATCACTTGTTTACTTACTTGTAAAGTGTATTAATGCTTGCTTCTCCTTTTCCTCACCCTTTCCCTACACCTTCCCTTACCCCATTTCTTCCTCTTCCCCCACCCCTTCCCCAACCCCTTCTCTCACCCCTTCTCCAACCCTGCAGAAAGTCCGGCATCATGGCGTGGTGAACCTGGAGCGGATGTTTGAGACGCCGGAGCGTGTCTTCGTCGTCATGGAGAAGTTGAAAGGAGACATGTTGGAGATGATCCTGTCCAGCGTCAACGGTCGCCTAGATGAACGTGTCACCCGCTTCCTTATCTCACAGGTATGTGAGTAACAGATGTTAACAGGTGTTACAAATGGTAACTGGAGCAACTCAGGTTGACCCAATAAGTTTTGGCTGAGACAGAAGAACTTTTACGTATTAATTTTCCATTAACTTACATGTATAACCCTGGAGTCATTCCAAACAATTGCGACAGTCAAGCCGTGGGGCGCCATGGCCTCATGGTCTGGAGCATTGAATTCGTGGCCTGCGGGGTAATTCTGCGGGTTGTGGGTTCGAGTCCCGTCTGGGATTGTCCAGTGCGTGTGCCCTATGGGCAAGGCACTTTGTCACTCATTGCTTCTCTGTGAGAGCAGAGATGTTTTTTGTGGTTGTTTTTTAGCTGCTTTGTGCCAAAAGGCAGCATCGAGCTGTACACTCCACAGGGAGCTGAGATTGTCTTTAGAATGTTTCATTGGCCCAATGAGCAGGGTAATAATGATGTAGTGCCTTGAGCACCAATACTGTCGGATACGTGCACTTTATAAATACACAATATTAGTCGATCTGTCGCAAGTAGAGTCTACTACATGTTTCAAACATCAACATTAAAGGCAGGCAGGGACATTTGCAATTACCCAGAAACATACCTACAAGAAAATCCGTGCTTAAAGTGAAGATAGTACTGGTACCAAATACCCTGTGAAAATATTCCAAATGAACCATAGTACTCAGAGAATGGATCTGTTTGTGCATAAAAGTATTGATCCAAAAGTGATGCCTTTTTTTTTCGGAGGGCCTCATAGGCCCACCATAGAACTAAGTATTTTTTTTGTTACAATAAAACATTTTTTTTTAGGAGGGGGGAATGGAATTTCTGGAAAAGAACAGAAGTGTGTCTCTTAAAGATAATGCTTCATTTGGCAATTTGATACCTTTCCCATACTTTTAAATGCTGAAAAAAAATCCCTGAAAATGTGATTTCAGATAAACACAAAATGTTAATGTCGCTCATAATGTTTTTTGTTTTGTTCCCATTTCCTCTAGATTTTGATTGCACTGAAATACCTTCACATCAAGAATGTGGTCCACTGTGACCTTAAACCAGAAAATGTTCTTCTCTCTTCGGAGGGGGACTTCCCACAGGTGAGTAGATTTCCAGTGGGAGGATATCAGTAAGGAAAAAAAACCTTCTTTAACAACGTCATCATAATCAGATTTACCACAACGAGAAATGTCTTCATAAAATCTTTCTTGAGTCATATCAAGCCTAGACAAAATATAATTTTAAAATTGAAGGATCATAAAATGAAAATCTGCCTTCTGTCCTGAGAAAGACTATCTGAGTGATTGGTCCATGGGATTTACCACTATGACCTGCAGAATACCACTCTATTTCTCTGTTCAACTTTATATTCATTTCCAAATATAAGGTAAAAAATCCCTCTTTTTTTCTCTGGCTACAGGTCAAACTATGTGACTTTGGTTTTGCCCGAATCATCGGGGAGAAATCTTTCCGTCGGTCGGTTGTTGGGACGCCAGCTTATCTTGCCCCTGAGGTGCTACGCAGTAAAGGCTACAATCGATCCTTGGATATGTGGTCTGTTGGCGTCATTATTTACGTCAGGTAAAAAAAATATAAATACAAAGGCATCATTTCCCTATCAAAAATTAACCTGAAATCCTTGGGCATATTTTTTTCAAGGACCCTTATAAGCAGTGCTACCGATAAGCAGTGGTGTACAAGCAAATGCTAAATTGTTTAAATCATGCAAAGAAACCGAATGACAAAATTGAACCGAAGGAGGAGGGGGGATGCTAAAGCGCACCCCTATTGGATGTGCTCACTCAAAAAAACCCGCCACTGCATCAATGCTCGTAATCTCTGGATGTATTTTTACCTCTTCTCTTTTTTCCTTGGCAGTTTAAGCGGGACGTTTCCTTTCAACGAAGACGAGGAAATCACTGATCAAATTCACAATGCAGCGTTTATGTTTCCTCCTAACCCCTGGAATGAAATCTCAGCTAATGGTAAGAAGACGTCTCTCGTAATTTGTTTCAGGCAGATATGAAAGGTCAAGCCGCATCCAGATTTCTTGACTACGGCTTGCAATCACATATGCATCTATAGAAGCGGCTGCAGCCACTCTCCATAGACATGTGTGTTACTGCTAGCCATAGCCGTAGTAATTCAGATGCGGACTATGATTCACATGAGGTAGCTACCTAGCCCAAAAAACTAAACGTTGACAAGGTGTAATTTCTGTGACACTTGCTATAGGCCATGCCACCTGTAATGTCATACTGACAGTCCACCACTGGGCAACCCAAACATTTAAGCATCGTTTGCCCCCATTAAACAGTTTATGTCAACACTTTTAAACCAGCCATATTTCAAGAGATATACTCGCAGTACAGACGGAAACAGTTCGCAGAAAGTTGTGACCACAACATACCAATTTTGTAAACAAATGTCATATGATCTATAGTAAACCTTTTTTTGTTCAGGAAAAACTGTTAAGCAACTGTAGTAGCAAGCTAGCAAAAGATATCAACTGAAATTGGATTATTAATGGTTCCACTAAAATTTTATTTGATTCAACCAAACAAAAGCATGCTGTATTTGCCAGAGCTGCTTTCGAGTTAGAAGCTATGAACAAATCCTGCAACCCTGAAAATCAATAGGAACTGTCAGTATTGTCACTCTCATAAGATGAAGAGCTGAGTGTGCATTTGGTAAAAACTAAGTTAGAAAATGTTGTTCAAATTGTTTTTCTAGATCTGTCATATTCAGACTTGACTAAACAGAATACAGCAGAACGCCTCGATAATAAACACCACTCTAATGAATATTCGGCTATACGGAACATCCCTTTGGCCCCCAAATTTCATGTAAATTATACTGAACATTGATGGCTGAAAATTTTTTCAGCAAACAGGCACTATACCTAAACAATCTTCTGTGAACCCCATTGTGTTTGAATACAGCTGTTTGTAATTGTCAAATTATTTATTGTTTTAATTTGTCACCCACAGCTATCAACCTTATTGGCAATCTTCTTCAAGTTAAACTCAGGAAGCGTTACACCGCTGATAAATCCTTGGCGCACCCCTGGCTACAGGTAAGACACAGACAGACCCTGTCAATCAAACGGAGGCCATGAACCAATGAGATCACGACTTCTGGTCAGGTGACCACGGTAGCTCAGTCAACCTTGGTCCCAAAGTACGCACGGCAGATTTGATTCTGCATGTGTACAAACCTTAGCATGAGCTTCTGGTATATTGCGGCATTGCATTTGCGTCCCTTGAGTGGTCTCCCCCATCCATCTCTTTGGCTGCGTTGACGTGGATCACTCGTACTCTTGAGAGTAGGAAAATGTTGTACGCGCATTGCATTCGGGTCACATCGCTAAAACAGTTAATGCTACAAGCCAGGCGTAACATAACTGCATTAGTGGTTGGTAATTCATTGTAACGGAACGTAAATTTAAAGTGGGAAATATGTGCAAGATTTTTCCGAGTTTTGACAGTATAAAATGCACCAGAATTAATGAGAAAAGTCTTTTTAACTTTCAAAAAATTTCAGTATGTTTACCGTAATCATCATCGGCCTCCTTCTGTCTCGAAAGACAATGGTGAAGGCCATTAGCTGATCAGTCCATAGTGCTTGAGCAGCGTCTTCCAGGCATGCAACTTTTCCTTGGATCAGCTGATTTCCTCTTTTTTTTACTTCCCATGGGTGCCATTGAAAATAGAAAAACACTGTACAAAGTCTGGGGAAAATTTGAATTTCCTCTTTTTTTGTGATTTCCCAGTTGCATGCCTGGTCTTCTGTGGCTGAACAGCCCTATCCTTGAGCGGCAATCCCTCCTGCAGACTTTGCAGGTGTAGATGGACGGGATTGGGGTAGCGGCTGCTTTCTCCTTCCTGCGCTGGGTTGTGTTTACCGTACTGCTATCTTTAAATCACATTATTTTAAGCAAGATTTGTTAGGTTCAAGAGTGTACTCCCACTCTGACCGAGAGTATACTCTCCCGTAATCGCAGGTCATACTATTGCTATCGCTCGAGAGTATACTCATGTTAACTTGTGCTCAGTGTCCATAGACAGACCTCTCTTTAAATGTTCTAAGCGTTCCCGCTTTGAGTCGCTCTCGGAAGTCAAACATTACCCTGATGGACACTAATGAATCTTGCATCCCTACTCCCCCAGGACTATCAGACGTGGCTGGATCTTCGCGAGCTGGAGTCTCAAGTGGGCGAGCGGTACCTGACTCACGAGAGCGACGACGAACGGTGGGAGGAGTACCGCCGAGACCACATAGAGGGCGCCAACCGCCGCAGCCCGAACCACGAACCGGTCAACGAGTCGCCGATCCATCTAAGCCCCGGTCGTCACATGGAGCGAGTCAGTACGCTGTGATCGGCAAGCTGTCTTCGTTTCAACTCCGTACATGATCTGAAAGATTTCCTGTCTCGAATCCTAATAAACCTGGGCCCAATTTCATGGCACTGTGCGCTGGTTAGAACAAAAACCTGGCCTAGCAAGCTTCCATCAAAAGACAGCAAATTGTTAGCCAAATTCTTTTGATTTCTGGCCTTGCTAGAGACCACCCGTCTGCCATTTTCTGACCCATGTTCAGTCGTGCCTGACTGAGTTACTGAGGCAGTTTTACAGGTACAGAACATTTGTTATTTCATTCCTGTACTGAATAATGCATGGTTTGCAGTTTCTGCAGACTAACATGGCTTTTTGTTATGATTCACTCAAGCTTACTACAGGAGTCGGTTCAGTTGCACAATGGCAGTCTCTTGAATATGTGCGCAAGGCAAATTTGTTTGCCCTAACTCATGAAATTTGCTTACTAAGTTACTATAGTTAGTCAAACTTCTTTACTCGTGGTAATCAGAGCCATGAAACTGAGCTTCAGTTTTTTCTATCCACTCCAAGTCATGTTTTTTTTTCCTTTTTGTCTTCGTAAAACCTGAATAGATATGTATCATAATGTACATGTTTGGATAAACGTAAGGTTGCACGTGCAGTTATATGCATGTACCGGTATTGTCTTAGTGTTTGGTATTGGGACATTTTTCTACTCAATCATTGAATGCAATGACCCCCCGATACCTCCCCCTCCCCCTCCCCCTCCCCCTACCTATGTTGTATTAATGCTTCATTGAACATCTCAGAACTCAGAAAACGTTGAAATATTAAGATCAAATGATCTTAACCCTAACTCCCTAGGCCTTTTTGCTAGGATGTAGCCTCAATCCTGCAAAATCCTCCAATTGGCCTCATGGAAAAATAGCATATAGCCTCAATCCTGCGTATTCCTCCATTATTTCTTGAATATGGTCCTTGGAGGGGTGACCACTGCCTTAATCCTGCAAAATCCTGCGGCAGTGACTGTCAATATGTTGAGGCTCGGCCAGTGACATCCTGGAGCAGTGCAGAGGATTTCAAGCATAATCCAGGCCTATATTTATGCATGGCTGAGCAAAAAAAACACAAGGTCCGGCCCAAGACCTTGACAAAGTGCATCCTACGAAAGCAGTGAAGCACTTTTGCCATGTAACCCCAATCCTTCAAATTCCTCCACTTTGGCAAAGAGGATTTTGAAGGATTCAGGCCGGTTAGTGTCAATGATTCTCACTCCGGGCTCCTTCGACGCGCCTCTCGCCTCTCATCTTTTTTCAACCAGTGTATTTTCATTTCTTCCTTTTTTTTCAACGGATGTATCAAAAGAACTCAGCAAACACTTATCGCTAAGAGAAGGGGTTCGCCCCGGTGTTTCTGGTAGTTATCCTCATACATACACCATGAGGCTGTACGCGATAGCCACACCAGGTGTTTGTACAGAAGCTAACAGATAACAGATAACCAAACACATGCATACATTTTTGTTTAGTTACAGGAAGAAATCTCTTGCCAGTTGTTGCTGCATGGTGTGCAATATTTTCCATAACCGCTGGAGGCAAATGAATTGGATCGGAAAAAAAGTAGAGACGCACAAATATTTCCGGAGGCGCAAAAAATGACTTCATTTTCAAAATCATGTCAAAATACTCTTGACAGTCTATTCGTAATATTTTAGGAGGAATGTGAAACGGAATACAAATTATTTGGGGTTTTTTTTTTTGGAAAGAGATTTCAAGCAAAGAAAATATCTTAGAACATAATATTCACGAATTGGGAATTATGAACTGTGGAAATTGATTTTATGAAGTTAACTTTCTGAATCAGTTCTATCTTTCTTTTTATTCTCTTCAAACAGTTTGCATAAACTAAACAAAAATCATGTTTTTAGAAATCGGAACTGGTTGAAAGCTACCTCAAAAACAAAAACATTCAAACAAAACCAAAATAGATTTGAAAATCAAAACCTTGAATATCGGAAATGAAATATGTTAGAGTGTTGTGGCGTGTGTGAAGATGGAGAATTCTTGCCTTGTGGAATGAATGAATGAATGAATGAAACTGTCATGGAAAATCGCACCATGGAGTAGTGTACGTTAAGTTTCAATTTGTGACAATGAATTACCAATTGTAATATTCACCAATCCCATTGTTTTTAGAAATAATTATGCAGACCAGTTTTCATACTTAAAATGGTGAATGCAAGTCTTTTGACAAGTTGGGGAATGGAATTGGGGGGTGGGGCACTTATTATACAAAAGAACAACTGTTACCACATTCAATGTGAAAAAAACAACTTTGAGCGACTTTATAAAATAACGCCGGTGTCAAAGTTAAATACGTAAAACCCGTTTCAGACTGGTGTCCCAAAAAGTCGCACTGAATCAATTTAAATCATTCAGGAGATTTCAATTACTGACATAAAGAGTTTGACTTCTAAAATGGAGGCAACCACGTCGAAAGATTGACTGTTGCAGTTTGGGGGTTTTTTTTCGGTTCAGTGTTTTATTAAAAGGTGAATACATTTCATTTTACTAGGAAAATAGCAATTGAAAAAAAATACATTTTTCAAGGTGAAACTTGAAAAAAGCATAAGGAATGCATCTTGAATGAATTTTCAACTATTTTGTTTTATTCCAATCAAAAATCCTCCTTTTCTTTATTCTTTTTTTTTTGGCAGCTGCAACCATCTGGAAAAAAAGGTTTTCATTTGGGGCCCCATTAGAGCTGCCTTGCGAGTAGACTGGCTCCCAAATCCGTACGTTATCAATACTGATAGTGGGGCGGGAACCAACCAGAATTGTTGTCTGGCTGCAAGTAATTTGAAATTTGGGGCTGATGTTTTTCAGTCGCATTCAAAAGAGAACTTTTGTAATTGCTAGAATAAAAGCATGTTAGCAAAGGAATCTATTTTTGGGGATAACACTCGAAAAAACTGCACAGGAAATGCAACTTTACAAAATAAAGTTTGCCTTTCTGAAACTAAATATTATATGGATCGACATGAGTCGCTCCTCATACAACTTAGTTTGGCAGGACAACCAGTCTGAAATGGATTTTACTATCTTTTCATCTCCGACTTTGAAAGCCATCACAATATTCTGGTAAAATCAGTCGTTGTCTTTGGTTCCGTATTTAACAGTAAAACTTCACAGGAATGCATATAACATTTCTTTGTGCAGTCATTAAGATAAAAAGTTAACGTTTTCACATCGAGCATCTCACAAGATGCCGACCCCAACAGTAATATTTCACGTGTAGTATTTATTTATCAGTTACTGTATTAATATAATTGTATTTTATATCTGTAACATTTGACAACAAAAACCAGCATTTAAAGTATCTTCACCTTGTTCGTGTTTTCTCAGTTTTTCAGTATTTTTTTCCCCTTTTATTTTTTGGTGTCATATCAGGGTAACGGTGTGTATTTTTATGTGTACAAACAAATTTTAGGTTTTTATCTCCATTTTACATAAAGTGCTTAGTGTTTTGATAGGACTTTCAATTTGTACAACACTTCAGTAATATGGTGTTGTATTCGTAAATGTTTCTGTTTTTTTGTTGATGTATCTTTGTGTGTATATAATTATACATGTATATATATAGTTATGTACAGAGTAATATAAAAGAGGCATTACCACTAACAGATTGCCCGTAAGGTTTTTTTTGTTCATTTGAGTAAATCTTTTTAAAAATGTTAGTCCTACAAATATTATTTGGGATGTGCTCGGTGGTTTCAGAAAATAGTTGGTTAAAATTGTAATGCCTACTCTGGTAATGCGGAAAAAAAATGCCATGAAAAATAATTACCTTGTTTGTTTTTAAATTGAAATACACAGACACCTTTAAAGCTGGGTCATGCTCTGCGCAACATCTGTGAAGTCATGGCAAGTGTCCACACTGCAAATTTTGCGAAAGTTGAACACATTTCAATTCCAGCGAATTTCGCAGCAAATGTTCCCTAACGTAGCATCAAATATGCACCGGCATCTTTACAGCTAAATGAGCATTTTCATATTGTTTTTCCATATCAGTGGTCCATGTTCTGGTTTGATTGAGGGAGATTTTTTTTAATGAAATGCGGTTGATCACACCAAGTAAATCATTCATATGCCATTGAACGAGGTGCACAAGGTCTGTGCACATTCAAACAAAAATTTATAATATGTAAAATATCAAATGAATCTCATTCCGAAACTTACATTTTTCAAGTTGCGACCGAAATCATCGGACCTTATCAGGCAACTCATGACCCGTTGGGCTGGTCATGTTATAGACGGCTAGAAATGAATGCTTTGAATGACCCGGTCCCATGCATGAGAGTTAAAACGTAGCCCGCCCTATTTGTTGAGAAATGGCTGTTCTATTCTTTTCCAGATGGCTTCCTTGATGCCTCTTTTGTGCCAGTGGGTCGTTTTTGTCTAGGATCACAACGTTCTCATTACTGAAGCTACGGCCAGAGCCCTATAGATGTAGAAACACTGCCGAATTCTTTGCCTCATTGGTGCTGGGTCTCCTGTGTTGGTATATTCTGGGTTTTAGTGCTTGTCTGGTTTCTGCAATTTATGTCTCACCGCAGTCTTTATCACCGCATGCAATTGCACTGACTATATTGGACCGTTTATCTTTGGGTTTTTATCTTTGACCTTGACCAATCTCTAGCTGTCTATCACGTGACTAGCCCACCGGGTCATCAGTTGCCCAACAAAGTCAGATGGGTTTGGACGTACTGTCGCAAGTTGCATAACGCAAGTTCCAGAATAAGGCTGTGTCCGAATTACTTGGCTGCGGCTAGATATTACACACGAGTCCATGAGAAGTGGCTGCAGCCGCTACCATAGACCGTGTGTGATTTCAAGCCGTAGCCAAGTAATTTGGACACAGCCTAAGATTCATTTGATACTTTAGCTTTATACTACTGTATGACTCAGAACATACATGTACATCATTATATTTATGATGTGTAGTTCGTGCCATACATGTTCGAACTACATGTAGTAGGTGCACACAGTGTATCCGCCATACAGAGCTCTAACAAGTCCATCACAAAGTGCCATTTACCTCTCACACACACAGTCCAAACAAAATGCTTTTGTTACAATTTTTTCTTAAACCAATTTTTTTTTCAAGTTGAGGTAG